TCCTGAGATTAACATAACTCAGACCTCCTCCCAGTGTCCCAAAGCTTGAAATAGTAAACTTCACCTTGTTAAATGCAGGTTTAGATTCATTAAGTCTACCATGTAGCTGCAAGGTTTTCTAAGCATAGCCAGTGTTTCCAAATTTGAAGGATGCTTCCCATGGCACTGGGAAAATGAAGGCAATTTTCTGGCATAGCTGCTAGCCACAATGTTCATCTGTTTGAGTAAGTATTGAGTGGTACTAATACCTTACTTCCTATGCCCCATTTAATCTTCATAATAATCCTGTCAAATGCATATGTACACTACTCATTTGGATAGAAAGCTCAGGCCTTTCCCCACATAACACAGAAAAGAGTAAGAGCACATCAGCATGCTAAAAGACAGAAGACAGCCTGCCAGATGATGATAGTGGGTGGAATGAAATGGTGACCCAAATGCACAAACCCCAGAAATCTAGAATATGACCTCATATGGAAAAAGCATCTTTACAGCTGTAAATAATTTAAGAGTCTCTTGAGATCAGATAATTTTGGATTACCTGGGTGGTCCCATGCAGTGAGAAATGCCCTTTAAGTAAAAGGGAAAAGGATATTGGAGAGACAGAAAGGACACAGGAGAGATGGTCATGGAAAACAGCAGCAAAGAAAGGTGACAGGGTCACAGGCCAAGGAAGCCCTGAACCACCAGAAGCTAGAAAAGGCAAAAAAGGGAAGGACTTCAAAAAAAGGCACACTTCAAAAAAGGCACACTGACTGCTTGATCTCTGCACCCCCAACATTTGAGAAAACACGTTTCTGTTTTCAACTATCAGTTTGTGGTGGTTTTCACAGCATCCCTTAGCATAATACTTAGAAAAATATCTTGTGTTAACCGCTGATGGAGTCCCTGTAATTACCACTTGTGCCTGAATTTCTGATTACATTATATACCTGGGAGGGAGAGGACAGTGCCTCTTTCATCTTTGTACCCTTGACACTTCCGATGCTTAATGAGGCTCAGTGAATGCTAAGTAAATTGGGCAATAGACATAGTTCAACTTCAGTGTTGAACTGCTAGCCTGCAACCACCTGAGCACACACAGAAGCAGGGGCTGTGGCACAGCAGTCCCTTTCAAAGGGGTCAGGCCACACTGCAATCATCCATGCAGCTCTTCTGCAGGGCTGAGGAGGAGGAACCGGCAGCCTCCCTCATTTAAGGGAAGAGAGGATGATCTTGGAAAGTCCAGACCAACCAAATGTTTCCAGCCCTCTACTCAAAATCATTGTCATGGCAATGGAAGCTTAGTCCTCTAAGTTTTGAGATGAAAAATATATGTAAGAATAAATTTGAGGGGAAAAATGCATGAAAATATGTAAACATAAACTATTATATTTTTTTAAAAAAGAATAAATTTGAGGCATGTCTACTTTTCATCCTACAATTGTTTAACTTTTTAAATAACTGTGTTGTCAAAACATAAAAAACTATGCAGTAAAATTGTCCACCACCCATGTATTCACTGTTTGTTTAGTGCTTGGGATACATCAATAAGAGACAAAAACAACTGTACACAAGGGTTTCACATTCCACAGGACTGGGATGTTTCTTTGAGAAGAGGGGGACTTGTACATTATCACTGTGTGTGTTGTCACTAAAGAAATGGGGAGTTCAAGCAAAACTCCCTGTTTCCCATTTCTGTTGAAACATTACTTCACCAATTGCCCACTATCCAATTCACCTCATACATTTAGATGACCTGCATGGCCCTGGAGGCATTTGAGTTGTGATCTCTAGCCTTTGCCACTGAAAGTTTCTAGGGGCTGCCCTGGTGGCACAGGGATCAAGTCTTAGCACTATCACCTATGTGGCGTAAATTGGATCCCCGGACAGGGAGCTGACCCTCATGGCACAGCAGGCCTTTCCTGACCTGCCTGCTGCTTCCCTTAGCAGTGTATTTCAGTCCATCTGCCAGTTCTGCTCCCTGCTCTGTCTTTGGTGAATCCTCTCTCCCCTGCCAAACGTCTGAACTACATCCCAATTCTTCTATGAATAATGAATGGAAATAAATCTTTAAAAAATTTCTAGGAGTACATTGTATGTTCATGCCTTTGAAATTTTGTTCATGTTGCTCTTCATATTAGCACAGGTCTTCTCTATCTGCTAAACATCTTCTCTTTGAGGGACCAGATAAAAGCATCATTTCTGTGAAGTACTTCCAATTCAGACCAGTCACTCTTTGTTAAAAGCATAAAGATAAACTACTGTGTATTTTCCTGCTGAGACTGAGAAAAGCTGAAAAGCAGGTTCCGACTTGCTTAGATTTTCAGCCAACCCCACACTGTCCACAAGTATACCTTACCCACTGTACACAATCCATGTGTTCTGAGTACAGTGAATTCAATTAAGTCACCCTTTTTGCATCGCACAAAAATCTTTTCATGATATATTCTAAAATTAAACACATAAGTAACATTCATTTATATAGAAATGCTCAAATCAATGCCTACAATAACATTTGTGCAAATGTAGATTTCTGAAACCTCTTTAGTGAGATTATATAGTTGGACAGCAAACCATTAACAAACCCTAAACATCTGACTGTGGAAGTGAGGCTACAAGTTAAGGAGGTGAAGGCAGCACAACAGACTGTAGTGAAGACTGTGGATGCCTTAGTGTGGTGGGTGTGGTGACTTGATCTGAGGATGTGTGACCCTAAGCCTCTGAATCAATGTTACCTCAATAAAAGTAAAATAAAATAAAAAACACATAGCTGTTTGTGAGGAGGACTGAATACCTGACTTTTGAGTATCCCCCCAGTGAGGTTTTTAGATCAAATATTTTTTCCAAGCATTTGCAAACCTATGAAAAATTTCTAAGTCAGTAATGATGTCATTTATCAGGTGTGCATTTTCATCTACAATTTCTTATCTCCTGTTTGTATAGAAACTCAACTGAAAGCTACTTCTTACTTTACTATATCTTTGTCTTTGAGAGTTTTGATTTTTTTACACTGTTTATTAAAGTAGATTAGTGAACTCTTACTAATCTAGAGGGAAGTTAAAAAAGAAGATACACTATTCCTACAACAATCAAAAAAGACAAGGTAGGTAGCATACAGCACTTGTTTTACGGAAGGAAAATCCAAAGTGGATATGAGGAGAGAAAGGATTTCACACACCCCTATGGAGAAGTATAAATAAAGGACCACAGGCGCCATGGAAGCAAACACTCAAAAGGAATGACAGATTCTTTTAGTAGCTGCCTCTGTTTTTTGCCACCTACCTGCTGACAGTTACAAGTCCCGAGTAAATGACTGCAATACTTGTAAATATGTGAGTCGAAATGTCCTTCTCTATTAGAAGTGAATGTGCAACAGGTAGGGCAAGAGAGGAGAAAAATCCCTTTGAAGCTACAAATTACTTTGATTCTGGGCTAAGCTCATATTCCTCAAATGAGGAACCCATTTCTTCTCCACACCTTCCAAGTAGGGTGGAGAGCATCCGAGAGGGAGCAATTAGACCTCAGCGTAAGATTGCCAAAGATTGCCAGTAGTTTCAGATACAGATTCAATTTTTTTTTTGTAATAATTTTCTTTCTTCTTGGTTAAATTTTATTTTAATTATTTAAGAGAGATTTTTGTCTCTGTATTTTTGGACCTCAGCTACTGTATGCCAGATGTTGTTAAATTCTGAAAACATACCTGACAGATTTCTAGAGTGTTAAATCATATTCCAAATTGTTTTAATATTAGGAGGTCAATGACCCTCAAGATGAAAAAAAGTGACATTAATATTTGTTTTCAAAATAACTGTCTTATTATCCGAAGTAACTTTCTTACTTCTGATAATAAATGCTCTTAGCAGTTTTCAATAAACATGATTACTGCATGTCAAGGATGAAAGGATACAATTGGAAAGTCTATAAAATGTTCTTTTATCTTTAAGAAATCCAGTGCTGAGCTTAGAACATTTTTATCTGGGTTAGAACACTTCATATATGGTTCTTTGTCCAAATGATCCATCTTTTTAGTCCTTTTATAAAATCATATTTCAGTCTTTCTCTGAAAACCGAAAGAGTATTTTGTTTTTATTTATGAACCTAAAGGTCAGCTCAGGAAGGGTGTAATTAAATAAAAAGGTTGGGATGGGTTTCTTTATGATACCAGTTATTTATCTTTAAGTGGACTTTTCAAATAAAATATTTGAAAGATTTCACATATAAAATTCAACATGCATGCAGGTCTTAATTGAAAGATGCAAAAAATTTAGATTAGAATTGTAACCATCTTCATGCATATGAATAAAACTTATCTATACAGTAACTCAAATGTGGAACTTGAAAAAGTCTTTAATTACCTGGTCCTGAGATCCTCTCTCTCCTTTATCTGAGCCTAAACTTTCTTCTCTGGAAAAGGTTGGATGAGTTGATTTCTAAAAACTGTACACCTAATGGAGTTGAAGACAAAAGAAAAGGCTACTTCGGATCTTTGATAAAAAGAATGAACAGAGGCAGAAGCTTTGGCTGAGGTAGATTTGGCTTTGAATCGCTGATACAATTATTTATAGGAAGTTAGCTTTCATTGTCCTCAGCTACAAGGTGGTATGAATAAGAACTATATTCATGTTCTTAAATGAGTACATGCATGTTTATAATGTTCCCAGCACAATTGGTGCATATACTTTGTGATCCTATAAATGGGAAGACCATATTTTAAGGTGAAGAAAAATACAAGGCCACCAACACATGGTCAGATCTACTGATTTCCACCATGACTCTATGCTGTACCTGTGGAGATGACCCTCTGCTGTAATGACACTGGAAACTGGAACCTTCAGGGTTTAAAAAAAGAACAGCATCAGGGAGAAGGCATCATATCTTAGCAAGACATGTTTAACATAGTTTCCACCGTCACCAAGCTCTCCTCCCACATTCTACACTCTGCTTCTATTTAAATCCCAGGCATTAGGGGCCCAAACTCAGCTGGTATCCAGACTATCAGCAGAGACAAGAAGGCGAACATGGCTCCAGGAGAAAAAGAAAGAGAGGGGCCAGCTAAGAGTAACCTCCGGAAGGTCCGCACAGCCACCTTGGTGATCAGTTTGGCCAGAGGCTGGCAGCAGTGGGCAAATGAGAACAATACCAGGCAGGCCCAGGAACCTGCCGGCTGGCTTCCTGGAGGGACCCAAGATGCACCGCAAGCTCCTAGATCAGTGACTCACTCCATTCTTGACCAGAAGGCTCAGAGTGTCCCCACACCTACCTCTCAAGAGCCAGAAGGATATGGAGATGGACAAAACTCAGAGGACAGCAGCAGGGTCTCTCATATCAAAAGGAAAGAAGTGACGAAGACAGTTGTCAGCAAAGCTTATGAGAGAGGAGGGGACGTGAGCAAGCTCAGTCACAGATATGAGGACAGTGGCATGGCCGACCCTGCGCAGCCAGAGAATGACACTGACAGACTCCTCCACAGCCGTGGATCCCCAACACGGAGGAGAAAATGTGCCCACCTGGTGTCTGAGCTCACCAAAGGCTGGACAGAGATGGAGCAGGATGAGTCCAACTGGAGAAGCGACAGCATTGACACAGAAGACAGTGGCTATGGTGGGGAGACCGAGGAAAGGCCTGAGCAGGATGGAGAGCAGGTGACCACTGCCAGAATCAAACGCCCCCTGCCCTCCCAGTAAGTGAAAGCCTCCTTCAGTTCCTCACCTGCAAGGAGTCCCAATGAGCCCCCAGGGACTTGGGGAACAGCAAAGTTAGAGTAAGAATCTCAGAGCTTGGGCAGGCAGTGAGATTCATGGGTCAGGGTGCATGGCCTTGGGTTAAAAGGGCAGTGCCGAGTCTAGACATGAACCACTGTGGGTCAAGGGCTGAGCCTATTTTCTCTTTTGAACTGAACACTTAAATTTAGCTTCAGCAGAGATGAAATCACCAAAGAAGGGTATTCATTTTGGGCAATACTTAAAGTCACTTCTGTAAAAATAGAATGGCTCATTTCTCCTCAGAGTAAAGTGTTTACTGGTAAACTGATAGGAGAAAAATTTTCCTTGTCCCGAAACAGCCTATAATATTATCAGCAAATACAGCCCCCCAAAGAGTGCCTGTGGAACACAGATCTATGCCTGTAAACAGGTGAGAAGTGGCTATTTAACTTTTGAGAGCAGACACCAAAGTCAGAGAGATCCAAATTCAAATTCTAGCTTTTCCCTGACTATGATTTACAATCTGGTATCGTACACTTGAAAGTTGCTGTAATGGTAGATCTAAAATTATCTAACAAAACAAAACAGAAATCTGGTTCTTTTTCTAAGCCTGTTCCATCCTTCGTAAAATGACAGGAAAAAGTAACCTTTTGAGACAAATTCCATTGTATGGAAACACGTCAGGTTAAGGTTTCCAAGCACTTAGGACAATCCAAGCTCCATATGTCTAATATAGGAAAACTATTATTATTACATAGATTCTACTGCTTAGCACTCTTTCCCATCTTTCAAAAGAAATTCCTATTTGTAGACAAAGAGAGAAATCCTAATAAAGCTCAATAATTGACTCCCACATCCCAAGACATTTAGATGTTAAACACACACATGCTGTCTGTTTCTCTCTCTCTGTCACACACACACACACACACACACACACACACACACACACGTAGAACAACTCCTTTCTCCTGGTAGAAAGTCAAGATATCTTAATTTACAAGCACAGGTATCAAAATATGGGGAAATCTCTGATGTGATGATTGGCTATAACTGGCTCCCTCTGGAAACAGTTAGATGTGTAGGTGTGCTTCTTCGGTTTTATGATAAAACCAGAAAGCAAAGAACAAAACTGGTTACCTAATTTGACAAAGATCTGTCTGATAGCTGACATCTTCAAATGTTTTCAAAGAACTAGAACTACTACAAAAATGAAAACTGAAGTGGCAAACAGGTAACTATAAAAATCTCTCATGCATTGGTGTGTGCTATGAGTCCCTGACATGCTCTGTTCTTTTAATTTGCACAAAACTATGAAGTCAGTATTCTCCCATTTTAGACATGAGACACCCAGAAGCTCAGAGGTGAAGTGTACCCAATCAGCTAGTGACAAAGGTGAGTCATGCCCAATGAAATATTTTGAAATCAGACTACTGCTACCTCTCATTTGATGCCTTGAGGAACAAGGCATCATCTGGATAGTGCTATTTTCATTAATACAGAGATTCATGGACAAAAATAACTATTATGCTAGAACAGAGAGAACTATAGCTTAACTTCTGGTCTTGTGATTTTGGCATCACAAAACTCAAAAGAATAAAGACTGAGGATGACACCACAGAGATCATAGTGACACATTTGGAATTGAGCTGAGGCAGGGAGATGGCAGCTGAACCTCTCAAATGCATGGACTCTTCTTGGCACTTGTCAAAGCATGTTTCATGTGATTATTCATATAATCACCATACCATTGTCATGGGAAGGTATAATTATTACCAATCCCATTTGATACAAGGGAATGGGAGAAAAAGAACCCCTAGGAAATTATATAGTCCACAGAACTTGAACCCAGACATTCTGGTTTTGAAGTCAATCCTCTTGACCTCTACTCTGAGCTTTCTCACCTGAAAGTGGGGATTGTACAGGTTTCTTCTCAGGGTTCCCAAGATTAGGCATGTCCATGAACACCTTCCTGAGTGATGGAGCGATCAATGCACACGCTCTGAATGAGAGATGGATTTGAATCATCACTATTCTTGCAAATTCCAAGTCTCTCTGCCCTCATCTAAAAAACACAGACATTATTCATAGTTATTTAAATATTAATAATGGAAAGCAATGAACTAGAGGAGCTATTTAGTGTTACCCATTATAATGCCTTGGTAATCCAAACCCTTCACAAGTCCAGGAGCTTGAATCTCAGGTTTGGCCCAGAGAAGGGGGGAGGTGTGGGAATTAAATTGCTTCTTCCTTAGTTCCTTTGCCTTGGTCTCAGAGTACAGAGGGTACCAGAATGTTGTACACAGCAATAGCAGTTCTTAATGTCAGCAGTAATCCTAGCTGTGCTCAGGAAGCTTCAGCTGCAGCTAATGACACTTTTTGCTTGATGGGATTCTCAAATACTGCTTGTGAAGTGAACATGACTTTGTTTAGTAAGTCCACTGAAAGGAGTTTTTGTTCAATTACACCATACGGCAGGATCACGGTTGATACTCAGAAAACAAAACTTATGAGTTAATGAATGATACCATTCTATTTTCTTTCTTCCAATAAGTTTCAAGATTTTTTCTTTAGCAGAATGTCCCAGCTTCAAATCTGGTATGAGCTTTGGGGTCTGGTGGGATGGGCTTGGGTTTGTTTTGAAGACTATGCCTGTCATTGATTGCATGGGGCCAAGGAGCTGAGATGTTTGTTATCCTTTACAAACGAAATCAATACTCCAGGCAGCTGAGAAGCCACAGGCTAGTAGGAAGGAGAAATCTGTTCCACTGCAATGTGGTATAATTTTCACTACTATTCCATATATATATATATGAATTTTCATAGTTGTAACTTTTATGTAAGCAGATTTGCATGGGTGCCTTGTCCCAATTGACTTTGTCATACACTTTTGTCCATGTGGTTATAAATAGTAGTGTTATATGTAGCAGTATGTAGAAGTTTGAATTCTATTTGATAGTGACATTGAATGCAGCAAGCTTAGACCTTTTGGAAACATGTGGGGATTAATGAACGTTCGCCATCTAGTGGACGTCTTTTCTCTAGTGAAAACAACACTAATACCAGTATGTATAACTTCATAATAATGTCTGTTGTTTTCCTGCATTTGGATAACTGCCTTTCAGGAAGTGAGTATGGATAGTGATAGTGAGGAATCTGATCCTTTCCCTGTTTTCAATAGCAAATTTTGAGTGAGTGGATTGAATGAGTGACTTCGGTGACACATGCTATTCATATAAGCAACTTCAGTTTGCCTTAGTCTCCAATTCCAGTGTTTTTAGGCATGAGGCCCCCAGGTGTTGGGAAGATGGAAGTTGGTGAGGGTATGATTGTCCACTGCTAGATTGTTCATTGATATTTTTCTCATGAAGGCAGAGAAAAGAGGAAAAGAAATCTATGGAACTGGAGATACAGAATAGGGAAGTCCTTTAAAAAAATATTGCTTATTTAAAAATTAGATCGGCCCCCTCATGATACTTGGCCTACACTTTCCAGTGCTAGTTTTATATACATGAAAAATGTACTTCAAGTTGCAAGGACAGACACACACCTGGAAACACCACTCACCACTTTCTCACATGTGCTACCTGAAAGCTGAACAGCATCACAGGACAGTGGAAGAGCTTTGGCTTCAGCCATGTATGATTTGCGCTGGAATACTACCTCTGTCACTGGTGGAAGGAGGAGTTTCGTGGCAGTTATACACAGACTCAGAAACAAGCTTAACTTTGATTCAAATCTAAGTTCTTCCGTAACAGTTAAAGACTTCAAGCAAGTTACTTGACCCTCTGAACTCATTTTCCTCATCTGTGAAGTGAGAATTATGTGCATCTCACAGAATGATTGTAGGGTATCAATGAAATGCTTGAAAGGCTTCTAGAATAAGTGTCCAGTATGTGTAACTATTGGGAATTGGTACTTTCCATCAATACAACTTGGTATCTCAAAATTTGTGATACCTCATTGATACCAGTACAGATAGACTCCCATTAAAATTACATTTATGAAAATCTGTCCCTGAGTCAATTTTTGCAATATGTGTTGGTGGAATAAGCCTTATTTGGGGAAGAAAACTAACTTCTGAAGCCCTATGTATTTATGACTCCAATTGTAAAATGTTAATCTGTGGGGCCCTCCCTGTTGGTGCAAAAGGTTAAAGCACAGCATTATGAAGCTTTCACAGCCACCGTAGCACGAGTTTGCTCCTCCGCCAGGGAGGTTACATACATGGCTTGTAAGATCTCTCCTGACCCACCGGCTGCTCCCCTCAGCAGTGTATTTCAGTAGATCTGCCTGTTCTGCTCCCCACTCTGTCCTGATGAATCCTCTCACCACCACCTCCACCTCTGGCCTATACCCCAGTTCCGCATGCATAAATAAATAAATCTTTTTAAAAAGCTAATCTGTGACTTTGATATACAATTGCAATAGCTTTGTGTAAAGATTTTTATTGAAATAGCTTAATATCCTTGATGTTGAAAGCATTACTGTTGCTCACAGAAAAAATAACTGAGAAACTGACACCCACCTGAGAACAATAGTGGAACTCTGTCTTATTCACTTTTCATCTCTATTTTTTTTTTGCATTTTTATGTTTGTTTTATAATGAAAAAAAATACTTACATTAAGATGTATCTATTTCAGAAGTACAAAGAGGAAAGCAACATTTGGGTGTTAAAATATCAATATCTTGATTCTTTACCCTCTCTCTCCTTCAGGGCAAACAGATTTACAGAGAAACTCAGCTGTAAGGCCCAGCGGAAATACAGCCAAGTGGACAACCTGAAAGGGAAATGGCAACAGTGGGCTGATGAACACATCCAATCACAGAAGCTCAATCCTTTCAGTGAAGAGTTTGATTACCAGCTGGCCATGTCCACTCGCCTCCACAAAGGAGACGAAGGTTATGGCCGTCCTAAGGAGGGGACCAAAACCGCAGAAAGGGCCAAGCAAGCTGAGGAGCATATCTACAGAGAAATTATGGACTTGTGTTTTGTTATCCGTACAATGGCTCGCCACAGACGTGACGGCAAGATCCAGGTTACTTTTGGTGACCTCTTTGAAAGATATGTTCGTATTTCAGATAAAGTCGTGGGCATTCTCATGCGTGCCAGGAAACATGGGCTGGTTGACTTTGAAGGAGAGATGTTATGGCAAGGCCGAGACGACGACGCTGTGATTACTTTGCTTGAGTAAGCTTCCGACAAGGAAGGTCACACTTGATTCACTATGTCTTAATATGAAATGTTAATGTAGTAAAAATTAAAATGCACACTGCTTTGTAATACTTTATTAAATATTAAACAATTTTGGCATACCTGACTTTTGGAGAGTCTTGTTTCTGAGGGCATTTGATGATTCTGAGAAAGTATAAGGCATTTTAGAAAGCATATCGTGGTGTTAGTGTAATAGCAAATATTTGAAATCCCATTTATCTTTTAAGCAAATACTTGGCCATAATTATTTAAATATTGTAAGAAGAATGCTGACTTTGTTTGCAAAATGTCAAAAGATTTCATTCCATGTTACAAAGAGAGATTCCACTAGCTTTGACAAAATATTTCCTAAGATGATTCACTTTGTAGTATTATTTTCATGATAGCATCACATAAAATAGGCACATAAATACACTGTTTTCAAATAAGATGCATAAATTGTTGAAATTTCCCATCGTGACCTTAGAACAGTTACCGAATTTAATAGGCTTCCATAGGTTAGCCTTCCTCCTTCTGCAGACTTAAGCAAAGCACATAAACATGGGTATTTCTGGTGGGCATAAATATGAAAGGGGAAGCAGTTATGTTCACCTTCACTATGATGGTGAAGCAGAAGTGAGAACTGAGATACACTTGCCTTTGCAGGAATTCTTAGAGATTTTTTTCCAAAACTGCAATGAGTCATGCTATTTACTCAAGTCAATGTACAATAAAATAGTGAAATAGAAACTGAAAGAACATTCTACAATGAAGTAGAATAGTCATTGGCAAATTAGACACAGCTATCAAATATTCTGATTTTTCTCATTCACTAACAAATTTTATGAAAACCTGAAAGCTGTAAAACAGCAATACTAGTCTTACTAGTGAAAAAGTTGATGCTGTTAATTTTCTAGATTTAATGTATCTTATCTAACAAGAAAAACAAAACCATATACAATGTGAGGTTACAATTCTTACTGAATTCAATGAAAGTTATTAAAATATTATATTGCACTTTGCACATGACAGAAATCATGTCAAAATAGACGTTAAGGAAATTCTGTATTCATGTATTAAAAACTTAGGACATTTTGACAAAAAGCAAGCAGAATTTATGGTTTGGTGGCAAACAAGCTAATGAACATCCTTGCAAGTATCACTATAATTTCAAATATATGAAATAGACTATCAATAGCATTGCACAGTTGGCTTCCAAATCTTCTAGATTGTTATTTTCCAATTAGATTTTTAAAGAACTTTTTGAACGTTGAAACGTACTTTGTTTTCAACACTTGTCTTGAACTCCATCCAAATGTTTGATGACTCAACTTTTGTAAGTTTTATGACTTCCTTCTTCCTTGCTCCCAAGTTCACTTTGTTGTCACTCCTCTCACACTCACAGGAGGGAAGTTCTGGGCTTGAGGTTTGCCTAACTTTGTTGGAAAATGCGGCTGCCCCCCTAGTCTTACTTTACCTTCTGCTTTCCCCTTCTCTTCCCAAAGTCTAGTTCCTTTTCTAACATTACCAACAGATGTATGTATGACTACCAGTGCTATTTCTCACATACAGGAATATTCCTGTGTAACTAGAATTTGTGTAAATGCATGCTCAGGGAAGGATTGCTATACTTTGTCTATCAAGTCATTCCGCTCATGAATCATAAAGGGAACAGAAGACCACCTGTTCCATGCTGAGGTGTCCCCTTAGTGCAGTGCCACTAAGGTTCCTAGATTTGTTTTTATCCCCAATACCTAAAACACACAGTGAATATTTAGAGATTTCATGTATAAATGTGCTATATGAACTAATCTCAGCCCACAGGTCTCAGAGTGCTCTGGCGACTATGGTCCCAAAAAGTGTTATGTGATTACATTGTTAGCCCTTATTTTGGACGTACCCTAATACTTCACAAAATTATATTGCATTTATTTCTTGACCACTAAATTCTATTCCTAAAATTTCTCTTGGAGATACAAACAAAAATATAAATGCATTGTGCATTATTTTTAACTGTAAAATACTGCGAAGAACCCAATACATAAAGGCAAATGGTTGAATAATGTATGGTACAACTGTAAAAGGAAAATCGAGTATCTGTATACACACACATACATTGGGTTTTATACATGCAGATACACACTGGATTATAAATATGTATATACTATATACAAAATAAACATTTTGAAAACAGAGGCTAAAAAAGGGTATCAGTAAACAGAGAGACAAAAAGGTGCACATTTCAGAGTAAATCTGTATAGTTTTGGCTTTTGAAATCTTTTAAGTATCTCACACTTATAAAAAGTTAACTGAGGACAAGCAAACAAGCTAAAATTGAATACAAACAAATGAACCTAATTGTCTTTCAAATAATTCAACCAACCACATAGGAGGAAATATATTTAACTTTTAAATAAGTACTTATTGATTAAATAATAAAGTAGCTGTCTGGGCCCTCCCTTTGGCGCAGTGGGTTAAAGCATAGCACTGAGAAGCTAAAGCCACTTCTGCATGAGTTCAATTCCCACCTGCCCCGGAGGTGACCACATGGCGTGGCAGACCTCTCCTGACCCACCCGCTGCTCCCCTCAGCAGTGTACTTCGTCCATCTGCCTGTTCTGCTCCCCACTCTGTCTCTGGTGAAGCCTCTCGCCACCCCTGAGCCTCTGGCCTGTACCCCAGTTCTGTATGCACAAATAAATAAATCTTTTAAAAAAAATAAAGTAGCTGTCTAAAGAAAAAAAAAACTGTAAAAAAGTGCTAAGCTCCAATTTTGTATGTGAAAGTATAAATGTAGTGATTCTAAAACTATAATGCATTATGAAATTAAATGAATGACTAAAACTATAGATACCCTTACTGTGGGGGAAAAAAAAACAACACCAAACTGCTGCATAAAATGACAAAATGAGTGTAGACAAGAATCTGGTAATATTAGATTGTAACTAGTTACATCAGAATGAGTTCATGATCTATTTCCTGGTCTCCTGCAAGGTCACAGAAGCAAGGCACCCTAGTACAAACACATATAGGATGCAGATATCTAAATATTGTTCTATTTAAAAGGGAACATGTCTACTCGAAATAGCTGATTCTAGGACTGTTTACAAAAAAAAAAATAACAGGTTAAGTATGGAATGTTAAAGTTTAGAAGTAATCACATACACACAAAAAAAATGGAGAAATGCATAGAAGTCAGATTGATGAGGTCTGTACATGTTGTATCTAGGACAGATATTATATATTATATTACCTGTTATTTTAAAAACAAACAAAAGAATCCATCAGTCCACACTGATGAAACATTCTTAAACAATGGGAATTACAAAGCTCTTCCATAGAGTTACTGCCAATTAATAAAAATGACAGAAACGAACATTGCAAAAACTGTAATTATGCAATCATTTTAATAATTCAGTATACCAAAACATTATAAAACAGTATCTCCCTACATAAAAGGAAAAAATGAGAGTAGAAATACAGCTCATATTATTGTAAGCAACTATACTATTATCACAAATAAGGGCATAAACACACCTTATTTTATCCTAATGACTTCATATACATTCTAATGATAAATCACTTGTGATTTTCCTACCAAAAGTGTATAATCCAATTTTAAACATAAGAAAAATTAACATTCACAGTGAAGGACATTCTACCACACTGAACTCTTCAAACTTACCACTTTCATGAAATATAAAGAACTAATGAACTCTTGCAAGAAGATCCAGTAAAACCATCAAATATAATGCAAAATTCTGGACTGGCTCATGGATCAGGAAAAACAATGCTTTCGAGCATACTACAAGGACATATAGAATGAATATTAAATCATATTACTGTATTACATTAAATTTTGACTTTGATCATTATACTGTAGTTATACTAAAGGAAAGTTCTTAGGAAATAAATGTAAGTTTTGTTAACTGTAATAGAACTTAAGTAAGAGTCAGTAGAATAACAGGTGAGTGGTTGTGTGGTGGGAGCAGAAAAATGGTGGGGAGAGGAAAAAGCATGCAAACAGTTCTTTTGTAAACAGTTTAGTATTTATTTTTAGGTAAACAAATATACACATTACTGTTGGGTACATATTAAGGAATTAAATTTGCTGGTCAAGGCTTACTTTAGCAGATCTTGTCCAGAGTCTTCCAAAGTTGTTCCTCTTCATGTTCTGTTTTTGAATATTTTAATAGCTTTTAGGAACTGTTTTCCTTCTATCGAACTTTTTTGATTTGTATTCAATTATATATTGAATATATTTGAAGATCATATCTGTTATATAAACTTTCCACTCTACTGGTTGTCTTTTCACACTTTCATAGACAGCTCTTAAAATCTTAATGTCCTAACATCTTTTTCCCTTAGTGTTTACCAAAAACATTCAACATATCTATCGTAAGACCATGAAGATAACCTAAAAATTAAAAAAAAAAGCTGTTTCACTTTTCATATTTAGATCTACAACCTTTTTGTATGCGCTGTGAAATGAGTGTAAAATTTTCTTTCATATAGCTGTTTAATCAAACACCACAGACTGAACAGATCACCCTCTACTAAGTGGCAATGTTATCTTAATCAAAACAACAAAAAGCAATAGTTCATTTCTGGATGCTTGATTTGGATGCATTCCTTTGTATAGCCTTTACCAATACCTCATTATCTTACTCAGCCTTTTAATTGGTTAACACTACCTGGTATTTAAGATTATAGTCTGTTTCTTTAGTGTCACCTACCATTTACCTTTATATTTACATGAAAATAAAAGATAAGTTTAATTTCCACAAAAATAAACCTGAAATTTTGTAGTCAATACAGGATGATTTTAGAAAATGGACATTTTTCAATATTGTCTTCCAAATATGAATATATCTTTACTATTTAGGTCTTTTCCTTTTGCTAGACATCTTAAGTTTTCAGTGGTAGGACTGGTAATACTTTAGACTTCATTTGTTTTTTGTTTGTACATAAAGTGAACAAAATGAACAGGTTTTTTTTTTATGCTGAACTTATATTTGATGATCTTGATAAATCAACTAATTTAGATAGCTTGCTCCTTTTGGAATTTCCTGTTTCCTCAACCAAATCCTATTAAAGTGACATTTAAATTTATTCCTTTCCAATTCTTACACTTTTTCTTGCTTTATTACACTGATTGGAAATCCCAGAGCATATGCTGAACAGAAGTGTTGATGGGAAATATTACCTGGTTTCCTTATATATAGAAGAAACAAATTAATTCACTTTTAAGGATGATGCTTCCTATACATTATAAACTTCTTTTTAGATTCCTTTTTAATATGTTATATATATGTGTGTGTGTGTGTGTGTGTGTGTGTGTGTATAAATCATAAATGGACATCTAAAGTAATCAAATGTTTCTTTTGCTTCTAGAGGATCATGGAATTTTTCTTTTTTCAAAACACATGGCATTTAATACCAATTCAAAAATATGAACTACACTTACTTTCCTGGAATGAATCCAATTAGTTATAATGTATATTCTTTATTTATTGCAAACAATATATTTTGATTGTTTCATTTAGGATTTCTAATATATGCTCATTAAAATAATTTTGCACTTTTTGAAGGGTAAGGACTGTAAAACTTTGGTATTGAGGTCATGCTGGTCTCGGAGCACAGCATCCTTTTTCTAGTACTTGAAAGGTTTCCTCTGAAATTGGTAAACCATATAAATATTTTTTTTTTTTTTGTACAAAAAATACCTAGCAGAGGTGCTGGATTTTTTTTTCTTTTTTGTAGGCAGACTATTATTTTTTAAATTAAGAGATTCAATTTCTGTGTTTTAGGCATAATAAATTGTTTCATGAAATGTTTTGTCTACTTCTCTATATTGTCAAGATTACTGATGTATGCAAAGTTGTTCATAATAGCTTATTACTTCATGGTTTAGGCAAACTGTAATGATGTCTCCTTTAAAAATTCTTAAAGGTAATCTTTCTTTTTCTTAGTTATGCTAAGTGTCCTAATTTTTACTATTCTCATGTTTTCTATTTTTGTGTATTGATGATTTATATTTGTCATCTATCAGAAAAACAAAAAAAACTTCCTCTCCCCTCCAAAAAAAAATCTTATCTCCAACTTCTGACATTATACTATATCTAACTTAATCTCCCCACCATAACTTGCTTTTTTTTTCTCCTCTTTGCATATCACTCATCTTGATAATATACCCAGCTCCTAAGTAAAAGATCTGAGCTATCCTTAACTCTGACATCTAATAACCAAATCCACTTAATCCTAACTTCTAAATCCCTTTTGCAATCATACATTCTTCTTTATTATAATTGCAGTTATTGTCATTCAGGTCCCTTCACTGTTCTCTGAACTTCACAACTATCTTGTTCAGAGTCTTGCTCACTTTCTTCTCTAAAGTTTTTCAGAGATCTTCCTAAAGTACAAATCAGATGTCATTCTTCCACTTAAATTTTTTTCATTGCTGTCATGAAACAAACAAACAAAAAACCCCCAAATTTCTTGACATCGCACATAACAAAGCTCTTCAGGACATAGACTTACCTTTCTCTATATATATCCCATCAAAAAAGACAATAATGTAATTTCAAAATATCAAATGCCAGTGCTCCACCTTGAATGCATCCTTCCATCATTACCACCACCACCGCTACCACTACTACCACAACAGCAACAAAAGCTACTTGAAGCATTTTACATGTAAAAGATACTTAAACAAAAATTTATTAGATATGAAAATAACCTGATTACTAAAGAAATCCAAACTCAAATTTGTATATATGTATTTAGTTTTATTTTGTATACACCACACTCTGACCTTTTTGTAACTAAAATCCAATACAGGATTTTTTGTTGTTGTTTAACTATTAGTCAAATCCACAAAGACAATAATACTGCTGTGGAAGACCAAGGGGGGAAAAACTGTTATTTATTTACAATTCCCTACACTGTAAACATTTAATCTATATACTGTTACTAATTTGTAATGAGAACTTTACATAGACAAGGAATTGATGCCTTGCATTTCTTATTCATATTCAGCAATAGCATATTAAATAGAACATCAGACTTTCTTTTCCATTAGCATTATGCTTTCTTTAGATAATTATCTAAACTTGTTTCAAAAGACCTAAATATATTCAAGTGCTATTCAACTAAAACTACGTAAGCCAACATATTTGGCTTATAATTTCATTTTTATAATAATTTAAAGTGCTATAAGCAACCTGGCAATCAACACTTTCTATAAGAACAAAACTACCTTTAAACATTAATTTACAAGATAATATACAATGTTCATCTGGAATAGCTGAAATTTCAGCACAAAGTCACTGTCACATGTATAACAGCGCAGGATTTTTTTTTTTTTTTGCATAACATGAAGCTTTGAAATTAACTGATGAATTATTGCCACAATGGCTTATTACTGATTTCCTACAAAAGAGGGTAAGAACTACTAGTATATTCTATCATTTTTTTTGAGGTCACTTGACAGTAAATTTGCATATTCAACAAGTCTACTGAGTTACAATAGTGTCTACTATAATCATTGCCCTTTATAAGAGCAAATGCTAATGGAATTCATAACATATACCACTCAAAAAAAATCACAACTTATTTTTTCTTTTTGAATAGGAACCTACAGTTTGGAAGTTTGTGTGCAACAAGGCTAAAACAACAGAACTATAAAACAGTAATTCTGACACAATATGTTGAGAAGAAATATGCATCTGTTCATAGTTTTTGTACTTATGATAATGCCCTGTGCGCTAAGCTACAAATATGTAAATATTATATTTTCTTGCTTGATATATTAAACCCAGCAGAATCATCAAGTTCTCATTCTCCTTTGTCATTTTATAATTCTATCAGATAATTCAATAATAAAAATATTATGCCCAAACCTGCAGATCATGTGCATTGTGATATACTAAATTAGATTTCTACTCAAATTTCATTTTTACTATAATGAAACTGAGAATACCTGCAAAATTAACAAAGAGAATATGGTAGTGTGAATTTAAACTAAAACTTAGTGGTCTACTAAGTATGCATTATCTTGGCATGTGTTTTTTCCCTTCATTAGAATGACTTCATTAGAATTGAACATGTCCAAGAGTTACGTGGGCCAGAGCTTGCAGATCACAACTATGTTTTGTCTTAATTTCTTCAATGCCCAACTAGACTGCCCTAATAAAACAATGTAGTTTTAAAAATAAGAAACCAAAATAGATTCAACAAAAAAGCACCATCATATTAGACTAAAATGACATGGATTGTAGATGAAATGGCCACTATGATCAAAATGCTGCCCAAATCTGACAAACCCCAAGTTGTCATCCTGCGTGGACACAAGCCGTGGTTTAAAAACTTAATGAACTCTAGGACAGAAACATGATTTAAAAACTAAATCCCAAAATTATAGCTGTAATAAATGTTGATGCAGACTAACTTCAAAGCATGAGTGACATGTTACGTTGTATTGCTTCTTGAACTTTCTAAATAAAGCTTGTCTATGTCAGGTTTGGGCGATTTTCCTGCTAAGACACAGAGTATTATATTTATTCAAAAGCCCAGATCTCAATGTCTTGGATAAAGAAATCTTCCTTCTTAGAAAGTGTATGATTTCCAAATGTTTTACAAGAATGGCTTCTTCCATGGTAGAGATCTCCATCAAGCCAAAGGGCAAACTCTCCTCTGCAACATATAAAATAAAATAGTTTGAACAATAGCCTCTTTATATTTATGCCTTAAATTGTAAAATAATTTTTTTTAAACTTTTTATTTTAGATTTTTTTTTTTTAAAGATTTATTTATTTGTACATACAGAACTGGGGTACAGGCCAGAGACTCAGGGGCAGTGAGAGACTTCACCAGAGACAGAGTGGGGAGCAGAACAGGCAGATCAACGAAGTACACTGCTGAGCGGAGCAGCGGGCGGGTCAGGAGAGGTCTGCCACGCCATGTGGTCTCCTCCGGGGCAGGCGGGATTCGAACTCATGCGGAAGTGGCCTTAGCTTCTCAGTGCAGTGCTTTAACCCGCTGTGCCACCAGGGAGGACCGTAAAATAATTTTAATGAGACATTTCAGTGGACAATAACTTCTAAAATCATCATTTTCCCCAAATCCTTCCATACTCCTTTCCACAAGAGTACAAGGCAATTTTATGTTGTTCTGTTCACATCTCATTAAAAAAATTAATATACAGATCAATGAATAAACTAAATCTAAAATTAATCTCATACAGAATTATCTTTTTACACAGCTTCTACTCTGTAATACTCTGCCTAGTATTATGGGTCTCTTTTTTCTGTATGTTTTTCTCAGAGGTATGAAAACTCCGTATCACCTAAAACAAAATATGGAACTAATTTTAAGAGTGCAATCTCCAATCTACAGGCAAGGGAAGTTTAGGGAGTTTGCTCAAGGTCCCAACATGTAATATGTGTTGAAACTGGAATCTGAAATCACCTCTATTTTACCCCAAGGCTTACATTTATTCAGTTCACAACACCATGCTTTTGCTCTGTGAGGCTGCTGTTTGGAATTGTGGAGTATGAAGTCCCTATAGCTCCCATTTTCTAAGCCTGTGTTATTCCTTAAAAACTGTAAGATTAGGCCCTCCCTGGTGGCGCAGCAGGTTAAAGCACAGCACTAAAAAGCTTAAGCCACTTCCACATGAGTTCGATCCCCGCCTGCCCCAGAGGAGATCCACATGTTGCGGCAGCCCTCTCCTGACCCGCCTGCTGCTCCCCTCAGCAGTGTACTTCATTGATCTGCCTGTTCTGCTCCCCACTCTGTCCCTGGTGAATCCTCTCACCCTCAGCATCTCTGGCCTGTACTCCAGTTCTGTATGAATAAATAAATCTTTAAAAAACAAAACAAAACAAAACAAAAAGTAGGACAAGCTACTTATAAAAACCATAAACACTCTAAGTTGATATGCCGGAGTAAGAACACAAAAATTTTTATAGTAAATGCTATATAACAAAGAATCAACTTGTTGCCTGATTTATACTATTAAAAACAAAACAAACAAGAAAACAATACCTGAAAAAAATGATTTTGTCTAAATATGAATCTTAATAGCTTTCAGGGTAGAATAGTGTGAAAACTGAACCCATTTTATACATTGATAGTGTACTATCATGGTTATTGAAAATTTGATGTTTAAGCTAGTAATACATTGCTTTTCCAAATACCAAAGAATCATTACACTCTAAAGAGAATGACGGGTTTTACTCAAGATGTAATTAAACATTTTTAAATGAATAAACACTCTACCAGCAATTTCAAATGCTACAATTTCTTGCATCTATATTGTGCAGATTAGGATTCTAACATTATAAGTTTTCTACAGATAACTGATTTTATAATACAAATTAACTTTTGAAGTTTCTTTAAAAATGTCATGGTAAAATATTCAAGAGACTTACCCTCCACCACCAAAAGCTAGTGAATCCATGTCTCCTTTGATAAAAAACATATTATCACCTGTCCATTTAAAGACCTACATGAACAAAAAAAACTTTAAATACAGATGAAAACTGTAATTATATAGTTAGTTCTCCTAAACCAAATACTTAAGCATCAAGAGAAATACTAAAATACTACCGAAAAAAAAAGTTGAGGACATAAGGGTAGTATCCCAAAACTCACTTGGTTTTGAGTTATCAGTGTTTGACTATTTTTGGAAGTTCAATTGCAATTCTTCAAATCTTGTTATGTCTTTACACATATCTTTTTTTTCTGATTCTGTAGCTATCAAGAACTATTTTAATATCAGCATTAAAATAGAAAATCAATTTAAAAAAACTGATAAATGCCATTAACTTTTCACATTAAACATACAAACACATAATTTGATAATATTTTAAGATAGGTCCAAGGTTTTTTCTTTCGCTGTCATTACTTTTATATAGCTTATAATACATATTTATGAGTTCTAGTTTAAATTTCTTTAAAGAGCTGTGAGAACACAGAAACACTTGAGAAATCCAAGGGCAAAACTTACATATGCTAGTAATTTAAATTATTTTTTCCTAATCTTTCATGGGAGTTTTGCCTAAATCTAATATGACATCAATTTCTAGTACCCCACTTTTACTACGCTTTTTCACAGTATTCACTATGTAGTATCCAAGAGTTAAACTACTCTTTTAATACTCATATTTTCAGTTACATAACAATCAATTTCAATACTAAAGTTACCAAGTAGAAACAGATTTAAAAGTTTTGAGAAAAAGCACAACCAAATTTTAAAAATGTGTAACTATAAGCTTCCAGTTAGTTATCGATTAGTTAATATATTTTATGGAGGAAATGGAAAGCATTGGTAATCTGGTAAGTGAGTCTATTACAGAGACTATAAAGACAAATCTTTTTTTTTTTTTAATTACAAAAGTTTATTTTTACATCATTTTGTACATTTTTTTTTTCCATCTCAATTGTAATCCCCGCAGGTTTCCCATCACCAAGTCACCCGTGTGCCATCACCATAATCCCGTGCACTTTCCTCCCCCCCCCACCGTTTTTGATCCCATTCCCCACTCTACCCCTACAAAATGTCTCTGGTACATGGTTGTTCATTATTTTTGTTATTTTCTCGCCTGGTCCATTATACTGAGACTATAAAGACAAATCTTTTAAAGAGAAACACTTTTGTAGCTTCCTTTTTCAATAAAGTACTTTCAACTCTTAGGGAATTTCTGACAAGGTGAGTCTTAATTACATGAAAGCTAGACAGTACTCAATGTTTTAAATCATCACACTTTTATTAAAAATTATTTACATAGCCAGAAAAAAAATACTGACCAATTTCACTCATAACAGGGATCAGGGGGAAAAAAGAGACAAACAAATGTAATAGAGTAACAATGAAAACAATGAACAACTATAAACCAGAGACATTTTATGGGTTTGGGAGGGGGAATGGGACCAGAACTGGGGTGGGAAGAGTGCACTGGGCTGTGGTATCGCCCATGGGTGAACTGGTAGTAGGAGGCCCTTCGGGATTACAACTGAGGTGAAAAAATGCACAAAATGAAAAATGACATAAAAAAAACATATAAAAAATAAAAATTAAAAAAAATCATTTACACCTTTGTATCTGACATCTTATTGGCAAGAAAATGTATTCAATTTAAGTTAGTCACATCATTGTAAAAAAAAATCAGGTAATCACTCTTAATATAAATCCAATTTTTAAAAAAGTTTGACTAAGACTTATATCACTGAACATATTTAGTCATAAAAAGTTTCTAGAAACTTTACAATAGCAATTCATAAATAAAATTCTAATAGCCTGTGAAATGCATTTGGCACCAAAGTTTTGTATGTGTAAAATTTTCAGTTAATTTTTCAAACAACCCTGTTAATATTTTAAACTTGTTATCCCTGTTGTATTATAGGAAAGTTGAAGCTCAGAGAGTCAAAGCGCTAAGTTCTCAGCAAAAGGCAAAGAACAGAAACAAATGCAAGTGTGCACAGCCCCCAAGTGCATGCTCTTTCCACTGTGCCAGCTCACTGTCAAGTGAATATTGGAGCAACTGTTCTTACCTCAAACTCTGGTGAGAATGTGAAGACAAAAGTCTCTCCTGTACCATAAAAGCCATCACTCACTTTAAATGGTTCAGATGCTAATGCACCAAAAACCTAAGTTAAAAAAAAAATTAATGACATAAATTATGTGTTTCATTAAGTACTGTCACACTATATCTGTTTAAAAGGAATTCAAAGAGCAAAAATCTGGTAGTTTTATATTTGTACAGAAACATGATTACTTGCTACATCATTCACATTATTGTCAAATCATTATCTTTTCAGTGAGGAAAAATCAGATTTTTTTTTTCTAACTTTTAAAATCTAAAAAGATGTTTATTTTAACAATTAAACAGATAACACAGACAACCTTGAAGTGGTTCATATGTTTCAGGAGAACTTACACATGCACAATGTATGTCCAAGAAAACATGTTGCTGTGGGAGTGCAGCATTTAGGGAAATGACAACTCTTTAGTATATGTAAAAAGTCTACTATTAAAAAGTATGTTATTTATTTTCTCATTAGATAGTAAACTCCCCCTGAGGACAGGATTTGGATCTGAATTGCCTGGCCATATAGCATCATGACTTTGTAGAGTATAAGTCCTAATAAGAAACTGAATGACTAAGTGACCTTAATAAGTCATTTCAATGTTCTGGGCCTCATTTTCACATTATAAAACAAGATTATAAAAGTTTGATAGATTTTTAAAGTCAGTCTCTCTCCTGATATTCTTTTCATAGTCCTAATTTTAGAAAAGTTTTATTGAAACCTCATTATGAATGTATTATACATATATATACAATCTATAAAATATACAGCAAATTTGTAAATATCACAAAGTTTTACTTATGCTTCATTCAGAAGGCACAGATTATCAGCAATCCAGAGACATTTGCTATGCTTCCTGTGTACTAACACCTCTCCTTTTGCAAATAAAGTTTAGTCTAATAATACCACAGATTGGTTTGGCCATTAATAAAATTTCTATAAATGGAACCACAAAGAAGTTATTCTTTAGTGTCTGATATTGAAGTTAATTCATTGTGACACTTATGTTGTGCAATGTAGCAGTACTTGATTCAATTTCATTGTTGCAAATACCTCTTATTTGTTTGTCTGTGATTCTATTCCTGGCATATCTTTACACAATTATATTTAGTTTTCAAAGCTTTACCCATGCTTTAAGACTCAGTCCATTTCTACACTGAGAACTTCCTTATTATCTTTCCCAAATAGTTAAGAAAAATCCTTACTCTAAATAACCCTTTTGCTGTTCCTAGGCTCTTACTATACTTGTCATATTTTGCTTGGCATTAAACATACTCATGTGCCCTTCTACCAGACCACAATCCCTCTGAAGGCAGGCACTAATTAATTAGTCATGTTCGTATCTATCCGCTGTAGTACTCAGTACTGCTTGTATATTAATAGCACTCTGTTGCACTGGCAACACCACACTTACAAACAGGAGTCATGGCGCAGGCTGACTGATGGGGTAGTTCTGACCCATAGGAATGCAGAACTGCAGGTGACAAAGAATGGTGGCCGAAAGTCTGCTTAAGTATAGCAGGCCCACAGCACTCAGTAGTGATCAGTTAACTTAATAAAATGTAGCAAAACAACAACAACAACAACAACAAAAAAAAACTATCAAAATAATATGCTAAAAGTTAGTTCGTATAATCTCTGAAATGGTGAGGTATCTGTGTAGTTAGTTTTCCATACCTGCCCATCACTGTCTTTAATGACCATCAGCACTGGAGTGTCTAAACCTGTCATTGTGCGATAGAGGGTCTTCAAGCTTGTGCCGTGCTTCCCAGTGCCATAAACAAGAGTCCATGGATAGCCAATTGTTCTTGGTGGAAGATGCTTGGTAAGCTTTGAAAAATGAAATGTGAACATTTACTTGATAGTTACTGTCTATTTGTTAGATACTAAGGCCAGTTGGAAGTTTAATGGTACTTTGTAAAACGTAGGCTACAAAAATAACAGAAGAAATTATTTGTTATTCTTAAAGATACTGAAATGCTTGAAAAGTAATTATAGTTTAATCATGAAATAGTGTCCACTAGGAAAAGAATGATGCCAAACAAGATATGTCAAACAGAAACAAGAAATATGGGTTATATATTACTTACACCCTCTGTATCAAATTACCAAAAACGGTGGACAGACTATTACTTTGATTAATACACTGCTAAATTAATGGGATCTAGAATCAAAGTTCAATAATCTATATTGTGTAACCTTGCAAAAGTTATCCACAGTCTCTATAACCATGTTTCTTTACTTATAAAAAGTGAAGATTACAGGGCCCTCCCTGGTGGCGCAGCGGGTTAAAGCACTGCACTGAGAATCTAAAGCCACTTCCGCATGAGTTTGATTCCCGCCTGCCCCGGAGGTGACCACATGGTGTGGCAGACCTCTCCTGACCCACCCGCTGCTCCCCTCAGCAGTGTACTTCCTCGATCTGCCTGTTCTGCTCCCCACTCTGTCTTTGGTGAAGCCTCTCACCTCCCCTGAGCCTCTGGCCTGTACCCCAGTTCTGTATGCACAAATAAATAAATCTAAAAAAAAAAAAAAAAAAGTGAAGATTACAATAAGAGTATCTAATTCCTACAACGTTATAAAATTATAAACTAATCCATATAAACAAGTAATTAGTACAGAGTAAGAAACTAAGTATCACGATTATAGTATATTATATAAGTTCTTACTATTACTTATTTAATGTCTTCTTATCCAAATCTCATATTATCTTCTATTACACTTCGCTTTTTCCTCATGAAAAAGGAAGATAATAGCAATAACCTGTTCGGTCTTGAAAACAACTGAAAAGAGGCTATTTTATTTTAATGGGAACAAACTCAGAAACATAAATATGTAGGCTGGAGGTACCTTTTCAATTTGATCTGGTTGTAAAAGTTCACTAGGATCACTTAGGTTTGGTCGAAAAGATTCAGACTCCAGGTCTGCTTTCACTGGAGCAACCTGCTTTGAATTTATATCTTCCCTCGTAGTAATCTAAAGAAGAAAAGAGCAGCAGTACATAAATTGTAATATACTTTCAGAAATTTTAGCTTCTTGAAAGAAATCAAATTTCATACAGAAAAGGTGACTAAAACTTTATATAAGGCAAAAAATGTTCTATTTATAACAATGGTGTATCAAATGCAGGTAACTTTTTTAATAAGTGAATATTTTCTCATACACTACATGAGAAAGGTATGGCAATGAATTATAAATCCTCATATTTCTATGTGAAAGAAGATAGTTGCATGCAAAGAAATTTTGCCACTGAAGAGCAAAAGTGAGCATCTAAGCTTACTTTTTATTTTGCTATATAAAATATGTAGGATTATTTTTTTTCATGGTCAACATAAAATCTGGCACACTTCTTAGTTGCCAAAATTTTAATTAAAAAATGATATAAAGTCCAACTTTTCTCTGAGTGTATGTATATTTACTTGCATTGCCGAAAAAGTCACCATTATTTTTAAAAATACCTTTATTATCTTTACTTTTTAAACAGTGATTTTTTTTATCTTCTTGGAACAAATGCATTTAAATGTTAATTTGTTCACAAATTTATTTTTAGATTAGATTGATTTGATGCTTTAAAGAGAGTATATGCTTTTACTTGTTGAAAATTATTCCACTGATAATCTTGTAATGATAAAAATGTTAACTTAAAAAACTTAAATGCAAGTCTATTCTGTTGGTACTTACTTTTTTATATAAATTTCATTTTAATATAAAACACAATACCTTCAAAAATAAATGTTATAAAATATGACCAGAATTGAAGAAACTCTTAAATTGAAAAACAGAATTCTATTGGAGCAGATAACTAAAATGCAGCAATGCTTGGCGACTGTGACTCCACACAGGCATGAAATCTTGATGAGTTATACTGTTCCTTTAATAGATTTCTTACCAAAGCTAAGCAGCATACATTTTTCAATCAATACATGTTCTTAGAACTGTATTGTTCTGTGGTGAGAGGCTAAACTATATTAATTCTTTCACATCATCTCCACTGTTTACCCTTATTTTGATAATGTGAAAGGCTAAAAAAAAAAAAAAATCCAAGGCAGCATGAGAAGCATTAAAAGAAAAGAAAAATTTCAGTAGTTCTAGAAAAGCAATAAAGAATATTGTATTAAGAGGAAAGCACACAATACACAGAACTTAAAAATGAGTTCAACTGTATCAGTTTCTTCTTTCTAAAAGTATCACGAAGATTGTTCCATGAACTTTTACATAATTTATCAAGCTCTGGTACCTAGTCTATATACTATTCCAACATTTCTAATGCCAACCAGGAATACCTCAAGAACAAAACCAATTTACCTGAGCAAGCCATCTGAGATAGGGCTGATAGAACTGAAATAGCCTTAAGAAAGAAAAATATTTAACCCTTGCCATTCATTAAAAATTTTTAAATTTTCCCATAGTGCCACATCTTTCAGATTCTGTTTAGTAAAGATTCAATCTCAAAACACAAAGACATTCTTCCAATGTTTAAAATTGAATGAAAACTCATCACTCTAAAAAACACACAGTACTGAGAACAGTACCAAAGTGACAGAAAATTCCTCTGGATATTTCTCAAATGCAAAGATGATAGAAAAGATAATCCTACAACTCTTCAAGACAATACTGTACTCTTTAATACAAAAAGGAATTTTCTGATGGATTATTTTAGTGCTGCAGTCAAAACAAATCCTTTAAAATAGAGATTTGTCCTGACAAAAGACACTAAAACAGGGAGTATTCAATCTCCAGAGGGATTTAAACTACTGAAGGGGGCACCTGGAGGCGTCTGCAGAGTGTGCGCAGTTCTTCAGTATTTAAAGCATCGATCCTGCGGTGATACTCAGCCACTGACACTACCTGAATATGGAGACAGGAAGACAATAATTCCACTGACAGTTGAGAAAAATAGCCCAAATAAAACAAAACAAAACTGGAGAAATTTAAATGGGGAAAGAGGATTTCTTTCTCCACTTTATGCTGAAAATTCAAGAGATTTTTATATACAACTAGAATGAAATATACGTGAAAGAATAGCCACTATATCCAACTAACTTACAGTGTAAGACTGGATTGTTTCACATAAAATTTAATTTAGTAAGTAGAATTATATAGTTGTTTATAAAGAAACACTGTATCAAACATTTTTACTAACATCAGAGGTAACATCTAAAATCTAAATGCCTTGCAGTTTACAAAGAAAATAATAGTTTCATTGCTCCCCTCTCTAAATCAAGTTAGCACAAATATATCCTAATGTCAATGTAGGAAGAATTTCATCCATACACAAACAGCACTACATGCTCTGTATCAGAGAAAAAAAAAGTAATAACGATATGAACCAAGACAAAAAGAAAAGTTCTAGAAAGTAGAAATTCTTTTTCAAAAGCATACATGATCAACAGTAGCTTTTCAGACATGTCTCTTTCAGTCTTTTAAAATATTCTTTTGTTTCTTCAGTTTTGCCATTCCTCTATATTACTTATTTATGGTTGGAAATAAGCAGTTATAAGTCACTAAAGCTTGATTACTTTCCTACATTAACTAACTAGGAGATATTCTGTATTTTCCATAACTGCCCAGCCCAGACTCTGAACTTCAAAGCCATACATGACAGAAAAACATTACCACAAAAAAACTCCACAAAAACAGACAAGTTTTCTTAGGTCGACCAACAGCTTTTTCAAAATGACATAATTCTCTAAATAGGTGCCATAATTTAATGAACCATAAAACACGGGCTGATTCTCTTGAACTCTGATAAATGCCTCTTGTGATCAATCAGTTCTGTATGGGGGGGCTGACCACAAAAATATATATAAAGCGATTAGAGCATAAGGAGTTTAAAATTCTAAAGGCTCTTATTGAGTGAACTAAAATGAATTGGCCATCAGCAAACATCAAAGTAACTCTATTAGAGGCTATGTAAACCTACTAAAAGGTATGAAAGACACAGAAACATAAGAGAAATAAAAGGGGAAGAAAAGGAACAGGTTTTCATTCAGGCCTTTATTATACTGACTTTTTGCAAAGCAACAATACATCAATCTGATAGCTGACTCCAATGGCAAAGAAAACATGAAGTAGGGACCTGAGTTTAGTCTGTTCATTATCTAACTTATTTTTCAAAACAATGCAAATAATAAGATTACATATCAAACAGATGGAGGAAAAAAGTACTTTTCAATTAAGAATAGAATTTTCAGTGAAAATTAAAGAAAAATTAGGTACTAAAAAAATCAAATTGCGGCCCTCCCTGGTGGCGCAGCGGGTTAAAGCACAGCACTGAGAATCTAAAGCCGCTTCCGCAAGAGTTCCATTCCCGCCTGCCCCGGAGGTGACCACATGGCGTGGCAGACCTCTCCTGACCCGCCCGCTGCTCCCCTCAGCAGTGTACTTCGTCGATCTGCCTGTTCTGCTCCCCACTCTGTCTCTGGTGAATCCTCTCACCCTCCACGTCTCTGGCCTGTACCCCAGTTCTGTATGCACAAATAAATAAATCTTTAAAAAAAAAAAAATCAAATTGCTTTTCTATGGCCAGCAAAGAAATCACTACACAATCTGTAAAGGCCAGTTAATTTTTGCCATTCTTTTTCCTGCTGCAATCTAAGAGCCTCCTAGTGAAGATTTTTCAAATTATGACTTACTCCATCCTCTGCTTTCCTTCTATCCCTCTAGTTAGTACTGATGTTATAGTCCTCTTTCAAAGCTCCTTCTTTTAACATATTAAACACATTTCCTGGGTAAAAATGAAATTTCTGATCATGAGAGTGATCAGTGATAATTTAATTTTACCAACATCCCTGAATGTAGGTTTTATTAGTAAGGAAGCCATGAACTACTATCATAGGATAAGCTTATAATAACATCTAATAAAGTTTTTTTAATGCAACAAATAAATCTTTTCTCATTCATAGGTTTTAAAAAGATACCATTCTTTTATGATATTTAGAAGCTCATCACTTCCTTAACTGTGAATATTTACTAATGTAGCAAATGAACAAAGATGCACAAAACTATCAATTATCTGTCAATTAACAAAGAAAAAGAAGTTCAAATACAGAAATGACTTTCTCTTCTCGAAATAAAGACTCCAAGCATGTATAATGAAACTAGAACTCTTCTTAAATTAATTTTTATCACCATGGCAAAAAGGTAGTCCACTTGCAGAATTTACTATACTACCCAAAGACTAAACATAAGTATAAAGGGGACACACAACAACAAAACTTTCTCCCAATTACTAAAGGTACACAGCCAAAGAAACTACACCTTCCAAATAAAATGTATTCACTGTCTGGCTAAAAAGTCATTTTTCAAGAAATAAAGTAGTCTTTTTTATACACTTAAATCAATCCCATCTGTAGGAATCCAAGTACTATAAATTACCCTCTACAGAATTAAACGCTACTCTCTAATTCTTCAGTCTTTGACAAAGGACCCTCACACATAGAAAAGTGTTTTCTTCAGCACTTATTTTCACAGATGTAAAGTTAGGGTTAATTCACTCATCTCTGTTAAAAAGGGCTAACAAGTGGAACAGAACAAAAAAAGCAGAAAATCAAGAAAGCAAATTTACACCTGCTGTCACTTCCATGAATAAATATGTTCTTTTCCCAGACTGAAAGACCAATACTTTGTTCTAACAGCCCTCCCTCTACGATTTACCAGGGTTTCCCAGAGGACACTCTGCAAACAAATCAGAATCTTCCCTCCCCTCAACTACTCTGCAGACTAACATAAATCTGGTAAGTATCTACGAATAATGGTACCAAATATCTACAAAAATGGTACCATTTTTTATTCCTTACTTAATTCCTTACTTTCATTTTATTCATTTATTCATATAGAACTGGGGTACAGGCCAGAGATGTGGAGGGTGAGAGGATTCACCAGAGACAGAGTGGGGAGCAGAACAGGCAGAT